TGAGTTGTTGACCCTTTCTGAGTTAATGAGGGTTAACTCATCGCTTATTGACTTATATATCATTTACCGATGACCGAAACTGGAATTTTTACATTAAATTTTGAAGAAACCAAAAAAACTTGTTTCTGTTTTGTCGCAAATTCAAAGGTAAAAACGGTATTGGAGGTATTGGAAAAAGACGAAAGAAGGCCAAACTATAAAAACGACGAGTTTTGTTCTAAAACCGATCTCTTAATTTTTTTGCAAAGAAAGCTCTCAGTTAGCCAATATTTTAAAGTAAAACGTTAGGAAAAATCGCGTTTTTCTGCTTAGAGATAGTTTTGTTTAGAAATATTAACCTAACATTGAAGAAACCGGAATTAAAAAAAAAACTAAATTATTCACGGCGACGATGGTGGCGAGTTTTCCAAATAATTGTTTATAAACTTTTGATTTTAGAGTTTGATTATAAAGTTTCGCTTGTTCTGTTCAAGGAAATATTTTTGGAAAAACCCAGAAAAAAATTATTAGGGTTCCCATTTTTCGACGAAATGATGAGTGTTCCAACAACATTTATTTTATAATTTTTCACAGAAAATACCTGAAGATTGTCAGGATTTTTACATAAAACTAGGAAATAAAGCGTTTTTACCCAGAAAAAAATTATTTAAAAAACTTTGCTGAAACTGGAAAGAATTGAAATTTTAGAGGAACTTTAAAAATCTTCAGTGCGATGAGAGTAAGCGAATTTTTCAATTGATTTTTTGTAAACTTTTGCACTCTGGTTTCTTTTTTCGACAGAGACGAAAGATAACCTTAATTACTTTCGGTGAAAAACCAAATAAAATAATTTGGTTTTTGTGCAAACTTCGAAGCGGAGAAGTTTTTCTAAAATTCCCTGAAAAGCGATGCATGAGGCGAATTTTGTAATTTTTGGCTGAAAATACGCCATGATTGTCAAGAAACTTTTAGTTTTGTAATCGGTTTTTGAGAAAACCTTAATACGTACTTTTGCTACTGTTTTCGATGGCGGAAGCAACACTTTTACCCATTACAAATGTTCGTTATCCCGTGTGGAAAGTACTAAGGCCCATTTTCATCAAGCGATCTTGAACCAGTTTAACGTCTGAAACTCAGTTTGACGCGCGAAACGGATTTCACCAGAGCCTTAAACTTAGTTTGTGCTTAAACGCGTTTAAAGAAACGAACTGGCCGATTTTGGGCGTTTATAGCTTTAAACGCCGTTTAAAGACTTGATCTAA